TATCAACAATAGCCAAATTATGGAAAGAGCCCAAATATCCATCAACTGATGAATGGAGAAAGAAATTGTGGTTTATCATCAAAACCCTAGAGGAGAAAGCAGGAAAAGACCTCTCTGACCTCAGCCGTAGCAACCTCTTACTCGGCACATCCCCAAAGGCAAGGGAATTAAAAACAAAAATGAATTACTGGGACCTTATGAAGATAAAAAGCTCCTGCACAGCAAAGGAAACAACCAACAAAACTAAAAGGCAACGAACGGAATGGGAAAAGGTATTTGCAAATGACATATCGGACACAGGGCTAGTATCCAAAATCTATAAAGAGCTCACCAAACTCCACACCCGAAAAGCAAATAACCCAGTGAAGAAATGGGCAGAAAACATGAATAGACACTTCTCTAAAGAAGACATCCGGATGGCCAACAGGCACATGAAAAGATGCTCAATGTCGCTCCTTATCAGGGAAATACAAATCAAAACCACACTCAGATATCACCTCACGCCAGTCAGAGTGGCCAAAATGAACAAATCAGGAGACTATAGATGCTGGAGAGGATGTGGAGAAACAGGAACCCTTTTGCACTGTTGGTGGGAATGCAAATTGGTGCAGCCACTCTGGAAACAGTGTGGAGGTTCCTCAGAAAATTAAAAGTAGACCTACCCTATGACCCAGCAATAGCACTGCTAGGAATTTACCCAAGGGATACAGGAGTACTGATGCATAGGGGCACTTGTACCTCAATGTTTATAGCAGCACTCTCAACAATAGCCAAATTATGGAAAGAGCCTAAATGTCCATCAACTGATGAATGGATAAAGAAATTGTGGTTTATATACACAGTGGAGTACTACAGGGCAATGAGAAAGAACGAAATATGGCCCTTTTGTAGCAACGTGGATGGAACTGGAGAGTGTGATGCTAAGTGAAATAAGCCATACAGAGAAAGACAGATACCATATGTTTTCACTCTTAGGTGGATCCTGAGAAACTTAACAGAAACCCATGGGGGAGGGGAAGGAAAAAAAAAAAGAGGTTAGAGTGGGAGAGAGCCAAAGCATAAGAGACTGTTAGAAACTGAGAACAAACTGAGGGTTGATGGGGGGTGGGAGGGAGGGGAGGGTGGGTGATGGGTATTGAGGAGGGCACCTTTTGGGATGAGCACTGGGTGTTGTATGGAAACCATTTTGACAATAAATTTCATATATTGAAAAAAAAAGATGTGGTTTATATATACAATGGAATATTACTTGACAATTAGAAAGAATGAAATCCTGCCATTTGTGGCAAAGTGGATGGAACTGGAGGATATTATGCTAAGTGACATAAGTTAGTCAGAGAAAGACAGATCTCACATGTTTCCACTCATATGTGGAACTTCAGAAACGTAACGGAAGACCATGGGGGAAGGGAAGGGGAAAAAATAGTTTCAAACATAGAGGGATACAAACCATAAGAGACTCTTGAATGCAGAGAACAAACTGAGGGTTGATGGTGGTGGGGGGAACAGGTGATAGTCATTGAGGAGGGCACTTGTTGGGATGAGCACTAGGTGTTGTATAGAAGTGATGAATCACGGGTATCTACCCCCAAAACCAGGAGCACACTGTGTACACTGTATGTTAGCTAACTTGACAATAAATTTTAAAAAAGTAATAATATTATACCCTTTCAAACACAGGGTATGGGCCTTCCAACAGTATATCTTGGTTTCTTCTCTCCTGTCTTTTGTGCTATTATTTTCCTATTCCTACATACGTTATAAACTCCATAAGACATTATCACTATTTTTGCTTGATATCAGTGTTTCTCTGCCTTTATTCCATTGTTGCTACATGAAATTTTAATACCATGTATATACTATGTATCTGTTTATGTACTGTGGCCCTTTGGAGACCTAAAAACCACCTGAAAGCTACCTAAGATAGTTTTGGCTTCCAAAGAACTAGTTTTATCCCCCATGGAAGCACTATGTCACATAATATTCTGTATTCTGCTTTGACTGCTTTTTTTTTTTTTTAATTCCCATATTGTAAGGTTGACACTCTATTCTTCTGGCTTGCATAGTTTCTGCCAAGAAATTGACTATAAATCTTATCTTTGTTCCTTTGCATATAATACCCTCCCCACCTCACCCTCACCCTCACCCCAGCTTAATTAAAGATTTTCTATCTTTGTTTTTCAGAAGTTTGATTATGATATTGTCTAGCTATGTGGGTTTCTGTTTTTGTTTTTATATTTATTCTGCTTGGGGTTCTCTGGAGTTCTTGGATCTGTGTTTTATTGTTTTCGATTAATTTTGGAAAATTTTTTTAGCCATAATCCATTCAAGTGTTTCTTCTGTCTCTTTCTCTTTATCTTTCTGGGACTTCAGTTACGTATGATAGACCCTAGGATATTATCCTATGGCTCTTGATTGCTATAATTTTCCTCTTTTCTTTCTCTTTGTGTCTTAGTTTGGATAATATTTGTTGACTTATATTCAGAATTATTCATTTTTTCCTAAGCTGTGTTTAGTCTCCTGCTAAGGCACTCTAATAAAGATGTTTCTCATATCTGATATCCATTATTGCTTTTTTTTTCCTCTAGCAATTCCATTTTGCATTTTTGTATTTTCATCTCTCTATGGGAGTTCCCAATTTTTCTCATGCATGTTGCCTATCTTTTGCATTAGATTCTTCCTTAAAAAATGAATTATAATTACTTTGAAGTCCCTAATAATTCTGGCATCTAGAGCAACTTTGGTTTTGTTGATTTCCTAATTTCTTGACAGTGTTTAATTTTTTATGTAACTCAGGATTTTTTTTTTTTAATTTTCTGAACATTGTGTATGAAAGGACATAGAAACTGAGGTAAGTGGTATTTACACCTAGAAATGGACTTGGGGCACCTGGGTTGCTCAGTCGGTTAAACAGCTGACTCCTGATTTCAGTTCAGGTCATGATCTCATGGTTTGTGAGATCTAGCCCCATGTCGGACTCTGTGGTGACAGCATGGAGACTTGCTTGGGACTCTCCTTCACTCTCTCTGCTCTTCCCCCGCCTGTGTGCTCTTGCGTGCTCTCTGTCTCTCTATTTCTCTCTCAAAAAAAAAAAAAAATAAATAAACCTAAAAGAAATAAGAAAAACTGAAATGGGCTTATACCTCTTCTGTCATGAGGGGAGCAGAGTCAACCTAGTCAGAGGTTGGGCATGGCTTGGATTTTGTTGTTGTGAGAGTCATCTGCAGCATACGACAGGCTTCACATTCCTTCAGCAGTGGGATGCTATTACCATGTGCTTCACGTGGGCCCTGGAAGTGCTGACAGTTTGTCCTCATTGTCCCCTTTCCACCGTCAGCTGTCAGCAGTCCTTTGCCGCAGAGGGGTCTCTCTCCTGCCCCTCCCTCACTGCAGACTGCTGATCCTTGTCACTCAGTGATTTGAATAAGAGATGGTCCTGGGAGATGGTGTGCTTTCATGCCTCTCTGCAACTAAGGAGGCTCTTTCCAGTTTCTAACCTTGCCCATTACCGTCGTCCTGAGTACCGAGTGGCGGTCCTTGGCTAGGATCTTATGAGTGAGTGCAAAGCCCTCTTGTGTCTAGAGCTGCCATTTTTCTAACATGTCATGCTAACCTATACTCAACCTTTAAGGTTTAAAAAATGTTTTCTATTTCTTTGTGCCCACTTTTATGGTGTCTGCCTTTTCTTCCCATGCTCTGCCAAATCTGAAAGTGTTCACATGTCCCATCTTTCCTGGGAGGGGCTTGTCGTTGTTGTTTTTGCGTTTGTTTTTTCAATTCAGTTCCCCGATTACCTTGCAGCTTCCACTCCCTGATGGAAACTTCAAGGGAAGTTTGATGTCACAGATTATCCAGATTTCTCTTGCTGTTAGGGTGGAAGCCCCATTTCCTCGCAGTCAGCACCTCTGGTAGTAGAGAAATAGATTCTGTTCTCTGTTGTTGTTCTTTCGTTCTCACATCAAAGACTGGGCTGCCCTCCCTTGTCCCTCCTGAGTTTTATGTCAGAGGTTCTCAAGAAGTAAAATCTACGTGTAGTTTTCTCATCAGGTATCCATAACCAATATTTGTTTAAAGGAAAAAAAATCCCTTTTTAGAGACTTGGTGTGATAATTTACTACATTCCTGAATGGGGATCAAAAAGATAATGGCTGGTTAATTTTCTCTTTAAAAGGATTTTTTTAATGAAAATAATTCATTAACAAAGTAGTTTAAAAATGCAGAATGATAAGGGGTGCCTGGGTGGCTCAGTCGGTTAAGCATCAGACTTCGGCTCAGGTCGTGATCTCACAGTTTGTGGGTTCGAGCCCCACATTGGGCTCTGTGCTGACAGCTCGGAGCCTGGAGCCTGCTTCGGATTCTGTGTCACCCTATCTCTCTCTGCCCCTCCCCCACTCATGCTCTGTCTCTCAAAAAATGAATAAATGTTAAAAAATTTTTTTTAAATGCAGAATGATGAAAAATAAATAAAAAGCCACCCATCATCCTGTCAGCTAAAGAAACCACTGCTAATATTTTACCAAAATGCATCTAGTCCTTTTCTATGGGTTTTATGGTTTGTGTACACAAGTATACATGCCCAACTATATACTTTGTGTGTTTTGTTCATATAAGCAAGTTCTGAAAAGGTGTGGTTTTTTGTGGGTTGTAGTACTTATGAGATGATGATGTGTCCTTCATGTTTGTCTGGTAAAGATGCCAAAACTTATGGCATATTCTCAGCTTGCTGTTAGGGCTGGATTCCTTCCTGCAGCTATGGCACAGGAATAGCCAGGGCAGGTGTGTGTGTGTGTGTGTGTGTGTGTGTGTGTGTGTGTGTGATTCCAAGGGAACGTAATTCATATCAGAAGAGACCCGTTGATCTTTGTGCCGAGGTCCCTGTTTCGCTATCTAACTTCCATCTCTTTTCCTTTATGCCAACCCATTGTCAGGTTTAGAACAAACAGAAATGTGGAATGTATATGGTGTTCTTACTATGTGTTGCGATTTTCTTTCTTTTACAGAAAGTATTTTGGAGAAAAAATTGGACTGTATTTTGCCTGGCTGGGATTATATACATCATTCCTCATCCCATCTTCTGTAATCGGGGTGATCGTGTTTCTTTATGGATGTGCAACAATCGAAGAAGATATTCCCAGGTGAGACGGTTTTAAAGAAGAGGGCTCAGTTCCCACATGGCAGTAGTTTGGCGATTCATCCCAGTTGCGAGTACATTTCACACGCTTCTTTCCAAAGTCCTTACCCTCTATTCTCTCCTCCCCTTACCGCACATGCAACTTCCCTCCAGAGACAGATCTGGGAACTACAGAGTCTGGGAATGGCTTCAGAGCTGTGCTGGGGTGGCTCCCTTTCTCTCCTACTTAAGTAGGAGACTTAAGCTCTTCTCCAGGGCCTAAGTCTGATATGGGCAGATGAATTATACCTGATGAAAAAAAATCATGCCTGAGAAATGTGTTTCCCCCTCAACTTCATGACTTACTCTTTTCTCTGGTTTTCTATAAAGACCCAAGTCAGGAGATGTTGAGCGGTGTTGGGTGGCGATTGCATGTTTATATGGTCAAACACCGTGAGGCTGACCATGGAAGCAGGCAGTTCTGGAAAGGAGGGCTCAGCCTCTGGTTCAGGAAGTTGGAAACTGCAGGTGATAGGCCCCATGGTGAGGCTCTTGGAAAGCCAAAGATAGAATAAAGGCTGGTCCTTCTGGTGAAAAGAGAGACTACAAAGAATATAAGCACTTAAAAATAGCATCCTTTAGGATGGACAGCATTACGTATTAGCTGTAGGACTGGGTAGTTCACTCCCTGAGTCTTCCTTCCCTTGGCTGTAAATGGTGGTAATAACTCGTACCTCGTGAAGTTGTTGTGAGGATTCAAGGAAACAATGTCTGGCACATAGTAGAATATTAATAAATAGTTGTTGAAAGGGTCAACGTCTGTGGAAATAAAGTACAAGCGACACGAGAGACACTTATATTTCAAATTTAAATCTCTTGCCATCTGCAGCACTGTCCTTGAAAAGCGAAGCATAGTTAGTGGGTTAGTGTATTTTAATACTTTTTCAGTTGCAAGTGATAGACGTGCAACATGAAGTAGCTGAAGCAAAAAAACCCACAACAACAACAAAACGAATTTATCATAAGGGTTCTGGGGTGTGTCGGGGGAGCCTAGTGGCGGGCATGTGGCTAGCCTAAGAGACAATGGAAATAGGGACTCCTGTTTATCTCCTGTCTCTGGTTCTTTCTCATATTTGTTTCACTACAGATTTTCTCCATTGGATGTAAACAGTCCTGCTAATAGCTCATGGGTGTTACAACTTAGAGCTTTCTACTTGATTGGTCCTGAATGAAAAAGGCCTGTTGGCTCACTTTGGGTTAGGCGGAGGGCCCGGGGCCAGCAATCGTGGCTGTGGGCCGGGATCACGCTGTACCAGCAGGATGTTCCTTCAGTAGCCAGGTGGATGAGGACACTGGGCAGACTGTGGGTGTCTACTGTAGTTGGAGGAAGTAGTGGCTATTCTGGAGGAAGGGCCAAGAGCTGTGCTCCTTTGAGGAAAAGGTTTCACCAATGGCAGGAACCAGGTAGCTCTTCTTTCCACCATGTCTGTCTATAGGAATGGTTTTGTAAACTAGAGAAGCTGGAATAGGCATTGCCCGTGGTTAGAATAAAGCAAAATACCTTGAGATAAGAGACAAGGGTTTGGATATTTTTGTGTGTAAAACTCCAGGACCAACTGTCTGGCGTTCTTGACTGGGAGTTCTGGGACCTTTGTCACACGAGATACATAGCAGAGGTTCTGCTTTCTTCAGGCCATGGAGCACAAGGGGAGAATGGATACTTACTAGATGCCTACCTTGTGCCAGGCATGGTGCTGGGTGGTTTTCATGTATTAGTTTTTTTGATCCTGTAGAGATCAATGGTTGTAAACTGTTATTATTTTCATCTGATGCTAAGTATGGTCACCTAACTTGTCCAACTTCAACAACTAATAATTGTCAGGGTTGCAGTTTGACCTCTGCTGCCTCCTGCTCCCATCTTTGCTTTTTCCGCTAAGATGTGAAGTCCCCCAGAGGGCTTATATCTTCCTTGGTAGCCAAGTAGCTTCAGCTGGCCTTGCCTGGTGCTTTCTCAGGAAACATGGCTCCCATGTTTCCCTTTACTGAGTTTGATCCCTAGAGAGCTGGGCCTCAGATTGATCCAAACTGGAAAACTCCATACTGTGCATAGAGAGCCGATGCCAGTGTAGGAGAAGGGGGGTGGGCATCAGTGTCCTGGTTAATGTTGGGTTTTAGAACCTTTGCCCTGGTTGCCCATCTGGGAATACATGAGACAGTGACCGTTTTAGCTGGAAATTATCATGGTCTACACATGCTGAAAAATATATATCTATACACATGTGCTTGTATATATGCAGGTATATAGTCATGTAAAAGATCATTGTTATCACTGCAGGTGTATCTTATTACCTGTAAGAGTGTGTAATGTTTCAGAAACTATGTATAACAACCCACTAGTGGATTAAAGAATCAGTTGAATGGCTATGTTTTAAGTGAACCAGAAAAAGACAGGATAGAGTAGAGTGAAATATAATATTAGTATTCATCATAAGAAGGAAGTATAGGTATTGTTTTATGAGATTTTATTTAGTTATCTTAGTATGTTTATAGGGGAGAGAGTATATATTTGTATACTGGAATCTGATTAAAGGATTTTTTTTTTAAACTGTAGGTCACAGTCCAAAAGTTTGAAATTGACTGTTATAAAATTGAAATTTTGGTTATTGGTTTTGCATACTTAAGGTGGGGTGTGATAAATAAGGAAGATGTAAATGATAAATTATGAAGAATTTTTTAAAAGAACTGCTCTTTAATCATAATTGTGTATCCATCAGAAATCCAAGCTCTTTGGGCTTGATGAAAACTCATGAAATACCACTCTCGATCAACAAAAGGATAGTCTTTAAGTCCCAATACTGAATCTAAACAAATTCATACTCTTCTGGGATCTGTGTCTGTCAGCTACTCCTAAGCATGATTAAAAACTTGCAGAAGTAATTCCTGGGATTACTTTAGAGTATTTTGACATTAAGCCTGGAATTTATTATCTATGTATCATTTAAAAAATGTTTTATTTTGAAAACATTATAGATTAATAGGAAGATAGTACAAAGGACCCACTGTATCCTTCATCCTGTTCCCCCCACTGGTTGTGTCTCATGTAACTATAGTATAATATCAAAAGCAGAAAATTTACATTATGTGGAACTTTGAATGGTACCTTTTATCACCCACAACTTTGATATGTGAGATACAAATATCACTTATGAGTAATAAATGGTTCCATATGTACATGGCTTGTCTATAGTACTTTACTAACCAAGGGATTGATTCCATTTATTAGGCATTTGCTTACATGCGTAGGAAAGACTGGGACATTAAAAAAAAAAAAATCTGATTGATCTAAACCATGTTGAAAAAAAATGGTTACTTTAGGTCTGAGTCCTTAATAGCAATGTTGTGTCTGAATTTCTTGAATAAATGCCGTATTGCACCTCTTCCCTTCATGCTAGCACAGCCCTGTATCACCTAATCTGTGAGCAATGAGTTACTACTGATTAAGAACACCACTCACCTTGGGGTCCTGGTTCAGCTGATTGCCAGACCATTTATCAGCCCTTTTATGCTTTCTAGAGAAAATGATAGATTGAAGAAATATGAGTTATAGCCACATTTGCATCTAACAAGAAATCTGTGGATTATGCAGCTGGTGAATAACCCAGATGTGATTTCAGTTCTGGCGAGCTTCCCTCATCTTTCTAGTTGTCTTTTCAGTTTGTCTAGAGAGACGGCCTCTCTCAGAGAATACGAAGTCATTTTAATATCCTCCTAAGGCAGAATTTCTCTAGAATTCTGTTCAAATTGCTTGCATCCAACAGACAAACAAAACAACCCAATACCTATAAAGCATTCTGACTTCAAATTTAAATGATTTGAGAAGTCTCCATGTTACAATGGCTGCCATTTTGTACAAATGATTGGTGACACAGCACTTAAGTTTCAAAGTGCTTTGCACCAAGCTAGTTGCTGACACTGTGTTCATTCCTGACCTTTTTTTTTTTAAAAGCATTGACCGGGTTTGGTTAGAATTCGGTTGACAAGGATTATCCCTCCCCCAAGTCTATGTGTAAAAAAAAAAAAAAAAAAAAAAATCCCAAACAACAAAGTGACGTCCCTGACACACATACTTAAGGACAGCACTGAGGAACTTATATGTTCTCAAACATGGCTTAAAAGCACAGCTCTTTAATTTATACAGACTAACAGTTTTCTGTGTGAATCTGTTTTCTAAGAGGGTAGTCTCATCTCTGAAAATAACAACTCCTCAGTGATACAGCGGACACTTGTCTGACCCATAAGACTTAGAATAAACCTTGCTCTTCAGTTACCAATAAGAATTTACCCAAGTGTGGGGTATCTGGGTGACTCAGTCGGTTAAGTGTCTGACTTCGGCTCGGGTCATGATCTCATGGCTTGTGAGTTTTGAGCCCCATGTCGGGCTCTGTGCTGACAGCTCAGAGCCTGGAGCATGCTTTGGATTCTGTGTCTCTTCTCTCTGCCCTTCCCCTGCTCGCACTCTGTCTCTGTCTCTCTCTCAAAAGTAAACAAACATTACACAAAAAAGAAAACTTAAAAAAAAAGAATGTGCCCAAGTAAAACCTGCATGGCTAAACTTACTATTAAGATATTATTTAATATTGTCTATGTGAGTGACTCACCCCTATTGACACTTGCCAATGGACAGCTTCACAGCGAGTCAATGGAGGAATGAGGATTTATTCAGAGACTTAGAGTTTCCATTCTCTCACACAGAAGGCCTTTCCTTGTTGTGGGCTTAATGGCTCATTAAAAACAAGCCTGAAAGCTGGGACTTGACAGACTGTGACAGCCCTCAGGGAAATCCTTCAACTTCTTCACGGAAGGGAGCTGGATCCAGGCATCCCCTGACTTCCACGTTTCATCTAAGCACTTGATTTAGCACACAGGATGCCAGCCAGCTCACTGTGGCAATGGCCTCCCTCTTGTCAGCCATGCTCTATAGTGCCCTCTGCTGCCTCTTTCCAGAGGAAACACAGCTGTGGTTTTTAGTGTAGTACCTCCTACCTCGCTAGGACTGTGTCTCCAGCTGCTCTCTGAGAACAGCCAATGCTTCATTTTCATGAAATCTCGAGTTCTCCACCCTTTTCCCCCAAACAATGAGTTTAACCATCTACCCATTCCCCCTGGGGAAATATTACACACCAGAGTGATGAGTTCATTCATTTTCCTACCAATATGTAGTGTGGAAGGACACTGGGGAAGCCATTAGGGCTGGTAGTTCTTTGGTTCTTATTTGCAAGCATTCATATGAGCCTGAATTTATTGGATCTAGCTAATCACCTAAAGAGTGAATGGAATTTCAACTATATTCATTAGTCCATTAAATAGAATGGATAGCTTAGAATATAACCAATGGTTATTTGACTCGTGTTTCTCTCTACAAGTATCATAGAATCTAGACTTTGGAAGAATTTACCTTATTCTTGCATTCTCCCTAATCCCATTTCATGTTTTTTTTTTAATAATTTTTTAAGTTTATTTATTTTAAGAGAGAGAGAGAGAAAGAGAGAGAGGGTGAGAGAGAACAAGTGGGGCAGGGGCAGAGAGAAAGGGAGAAAGAATCCCAAGCAGGCTCCATGCTGACACAGTGCAGAGCCTGATGTGGGGCTTGAACTCACGAACCACGAGATCATGAACAGAGCCGACATCAAGAGTTGGATGCTTAACTGACTGAGGCATCCCCCATTTCACAGTTTTGATCATTCTTATTATGCTGAGGGTATTAATCCCCATTCTACAAATGGGCGTGCAGCTGATGCACTTAGAAAGAGACTTCCAACCCAGCTCTGACTCCATTCTTCTTTCCGTGGCTTCTTCTTTAGAAAGAAGTAAGAGCTTGTGTTGATCCAGCCAGACTCTTGGTTTGCTTCTTCCCATGACCAGTCCCACACCTGTTTGGGGCAGCCATCAGGGTTTAAGAAGACAACCTGGGCTTGATATGATGGTGGTGGAATCGGACTTCAGGCAGGTGATGGATTCAGAGTCATCGGTGCTCCCCACCAACCTCATAGATGCAGCACATTTTGAGGGGACTTTATAAGGCATCACTCAGTGTACAACATCTCTGACAGATGCTCACTAATTAGGACACTCCTAGTGACAGGAGGATCCGCACCTCAGAAGTGGCCCATCCGTTTCTTTGACAAAATGCAGAAGTAAAACTCTCATGGCAAAGAATCCAATTCCAGCATCTCTAACACACCTCACCTATGGAGTTGATAAGCTTAGCCATGGATTTGGAAGTGGGAGATGTTTTCAGGGTGATTTGCTTGGGGTGGGTCCTCCTTGACTTCCACTTGACCCAGCAGCCTCTCTCAACTGCAGCAAAGAGATGTGTGACCAGCAGAATGCCTTCACCATGTGTCCCCTGTGTGACAAGTCCTGTGATTACTGGAACCTCAGCTCAGCCTGTGGTACAGCAAAGGCGAGCCACCTGTTTGACAACCCTGCCACCGTCTTCTTCTCCATCTTCATGGCTCTGTGGGGTAAGTGGTCACCATGAGCCTTGCTTATATTGGTGATATCTTTAAGTGGTTACAGTGACCATGCTCTGAAGCCCGTACCCTTTGATTTATGTCCTTTAGTATTTAATACTTATACCTCAATAAGTATTTTAGGGACAGTAGCTTTCTCTCTTATACATGTGAATAGACCTAGGAGTACCCTCCACGGCTTTATATATATTTTAAAAGCATATAGGATGTTAATCTTGTTTTAATCTCACATATGATCTATTCAGAATTTGAACCAATGCATGTTTGAAAACCCCTAGCACACCTGTAAGGTGCTCCAGGTTTATCTACTAAGATATGTAAAGTCATAGATATTCAGTATAACACTCAGAGTGGTGGGGTGACTGCCATGGTCACCAAGGTAGCTGGTGGTCAAGATGGGCCTAAACCTGGTCTCCTGACTCCAGGTTCAGTGCAATTTCCAGGATACCATGAGTGTAGATGTTAGAGATTTTACTTAATGCCAGAGAAGTATTGTCAGTATTTCCACCAAAGGGATTTGTAAAGAACAGATAGTTTCATCATTTTCCTTCTCCTCCCTTACCCCCAGAGTATTAGGGTAATAAACTTTCTCTGGGCCATAGCCATCTGACCACACACACACACACACACACACACACACACACACACACACACACTTCTCTTCACAAACTGCAATGGAATAACCTGGAATAATAACCCTGTGGTAACTGGACATTTCCAAGAAGACACACCCACGTGTATCATACAAGGAACAGAGTCAACACATTTCAGTCCATCTTGAGTAGCTACCTGACTTTTACTTTCTCCTCATTGTTGGATACACAAGCCCTTAGCTTCTCCATTGGATCGCAGAGCAGCAGGGCCATGATCCTTCTGCAGAGGATACTTGATTATCACTGACTCCATGGCGCCTGAAGGACATGCCAGGATGGGACCATGAGTCACACATTCCCGAAAGTGTGAAGAGGGGACAGGGAGAGGTCTGTTGTCAGTAGTGTTGGGAGTACCTAACACAAGCGTTCTCTGTTCCCTGTAGGGACCTCTACTTGGGTGGAGACAGAACCAGACTGGAAAGACCGCCATATTACTAGGTCACCAAGAAACATTTCCAGGGGACACTCTATTTTCTGTTATCAGGTGGAATAGCCAGTACCCAGGAGCACATGGGCAGTAGTCAGCCCAGAGAAGTAGGGACAGGGAGTAGGAGGAAGTGGCACTTAGTACCATTTGGCCCTGGAATGGTTCACAGGAGGGGTTCAGTAGAACTGGCTGAAGCTGAAGCTTGTTGCCTGGGGCATCTTGGGCTGCAGCTCTGTGGCTCCTTGTCAAGCATGGCATCTCATAACTACCCCCAAATTCACTGGAACTCATTTGGAACCTGGAACACATATTTAATTTTTGATATATTACAGTCCTAATTCCCACCAATTTGTCTTTTTTTTTTTTTTAATTTTTTTTTCAACGTTTATTTATTTTTGGGACAGAGAGAGACAGAGCATGAACGGGGGAGGGGCAGAGAGAGAGGGAGTCACAGAATCGGAAGCAGGCTCCAGGCTCTGAGCCATCAGCCCAGAGCCTGACGCGGGGCTCGAACTCCCGGACCGCGAGATCGTGACCTGGCTGAAGTCGGACGCTTAACCGACTGCACCACCCAGGCGCCCCATAATTCCCACCAATTTGTCTTAAGAGATGCCCATGACTGAATAGCTAAAGCTTAATAACGTCAGACCCATGATCCCTTACAGACTTTTCCTAGGATCCGTAATCCCTTGTCATAGACAGACTTGGTTTTCAATTGTACTTTCCCACTCTCAAGCCCCAACAACTACCTCTCCTCTTTCCTCAATAGCTGTAATTAACAGATGCCTCTCAACCCCCCACCCCCCGGGATCTGCCATAACTTACTGCCCCCACCCCCGCTCCTCTCCCTCCCCCTCCTGTGGCCGTGTGGGGAAAGCAGGAAGGGTGGGATGCGTCAGAGCTTCCTGGCATAGCGTGGGGTTCGGTTGTGTTTTTTTAACAGCCTTGCTGTGTTTTATGTGATTGTGTATTTGGTTGCGGCAGCCAAGAGCCGCTGGGCACAATTGCCTGCAAATTACAATTAAAAATAATAGTACTGCCTCTCATTACCATGATTATTATGATCAGTGATGCTGTGCTGGGTGGGCCTGGGCTGGGGCCCAACCTGCCAGGAGGAAGGCTGGGGAGAAGTGGCACTTTGCAGAGAGATTCTCTGTCAGTGGAGCAGGAGTGGGGGCTGCTGAGCCAGGGCTGTGTGGAAGGTGCTAGTCTGGCAGGGTCTGGGTCTGTGGGAGTCTTCAGGCCCAGCTCCTGGTTCCTCTGTCGTCCGGCTTCAGACTCCAGGGAACTTTGGAAAGTGAGTGAAGCTCTATTGAAAAGGGAAGTAACGGGACAGGGTTTCTGGACTCTGTTCTGAATAGAAGTTAAGGACCCTGTCTTAGGAGCCAGGCAGTCCTAGATGTGTGTGTCTCAGTTCTGCCCCTTACCATCTGAGGGTCCATGGCCAGACAGTGTGGATCTGGCTCCTGGTCACAAAAGTCAGCACTCTGTTTTGTTTTGTGTTTTGTTTTTTTCTTAAGTTTTATTTATTTTTGAGAAAGTGAGCACAGCCAGGGGAGGGACAGAGAGAGGAAGAGACAGAGGATCCAAAGCAGGCTTGGCGGGGGGAGGGGGGTGGGGTTGGTGAGTGACAGCAGGGAGTCCGATGGGGGGCTTGAACTCACTGATGCTCAACCAACTGAGCCATCCAGGTGCCCCACCAAAGTCGGCACTCTTAACTAAGGTGCTGTATACCTGGAGCAAGGCTCTTAACCTTTGGGCCTCATTATGCTCATCTGTGAGGTGGGTGAAGGGATACTTACCCTGTAGTGTTCCCGTGAGAAGTGAATGAGATATGTGTGGAGCACTTAACATAGTCCCTGGCGTGTAATACACACCAGGAGCTGTGAGCCGCTCTTCGTCGTTATAACAGTCCTCCCTTGTCCTCATGGCTCCTCTGCGGTGATTTCTTTGCCCCTCTCCTCTGTTCACATGGTCAGACTTGTCTGCTTCATAGAGATGGCAGTCAGGAAGCACTCTGAGTCCCACTGTATGCAGAGCCCTCCTCAGGCGCTGAGAAGAGCGTAGGAAAAGGAGGGACGCCCTCCTCTCCACCTTGTTCTCAGGGCATCCCCAGGCCAATGCCAGGGTTGGGAGGTCATGATGCACTGACATGAAGAAGCCTCAAATCCACAGGAGAAACTGCATGAACCCATGCACTGTAATGTAGGTGCCAAGTAAAACAACCATAGCCTTTAGCAACTGCACATTCAGCTGGTCTGTAGGTGTTCTGCTTAGTTCTGTGCTGTGCCCTTGGTAGACAGGCAGCTAAGAGCTGAGGAAATTTATGGTCCTGTTACTGCACTGCTCTGCATGGTGCAGCAGCAGGCGCCCAGGCTCTTCCCATGCTTGGTGTCCAGGTGAGGGGGTGGCCTCAGGGAGTGTCACTTTCCTTTTTGTCCAGGGCACCAGACCTAAAGGACAATTAGGAGTGTGGAGGAGAGGGTGTCCCAAGCCTGATCCTATGGACGAGGTGGGGCTTGAGTGGTTCAGCAGAGGATGAGGGTAGACAGTGGAGGGCACCATAGGAGAGCGGCACAGTGTGCATGAGTTGGGGACGAGGAGGGCAACAAGGAGGTGACCTTAGCAGCAGTGCAAGTGTGAGGTTGTGTGTTGACAAACCGAGGGAATGGATTCAGACAGATGGGTTGGGCCGCATATACAGGATCCCCCCATCCAGAGAGAAGAACTAGGCAATAAGGAGCCATTGAAAGTTTAGATGGGGGAGAGTGGGCATCTGCCCTCTTCCCACCCCTTCTTCACAGCCCAAATGCCATTGTTTTCGACTCCACTCAGGTGGTTTCTCTGGCAGCTAGGGCTCCCTCTGCTGCATGTCCACAGCTCTTATCTGTGCTGTTCTTTAGGCCCTGCTCACTCCATGCCTTGTATTTTAGTTATTGACAGTCTCTCCCCATAGACTATAAACAGTTTGAGAGCAAATCCACGTTGGTTTCCCTTGATCTCCCTCATGATGTCTAGAACAGTGTTGTATATGTTACAGATGACCTTAGTCAGGCCTGGTTCTTTTTGCAAGATTGGAAATTGGTTCAAGCTTGCTCAGATAACAAGAGATTTGTTGTAAGAAAGCAAGAAGCAAGCTCATGGATGCAGGTAATGACAGACAGCCAGGTGTCTGGGGAACTGGAGCTGGAGGAGCTACCGGAAACCATGGCCCTTCCTCCGTTCAGGTGCTGCATGGCTCGTCCTATGTCTGCTACTCTTCGTGTCTCTTAGTTTCAGTTATCAAAAGAGAGAACCGGCTTGCTCCATCAGCAGGTGTTAGGTGTTCAGTCCTGGTATCACAAGCCCATGGGTGTTGGTTCTCCCTGGGGCGTGTTGGGCTATCCCTTTAAGGGGCTGCGGCTGGAGCAGGCAGACCAACCAGCATGCAGGTGTGGGAGGTGCACAGCAGCTACTTGCCAAACAAATGGAGGAATGGGTGAACGTCACTTAGGGGAGATTGCTCCATGAGCCACATGCAGGGTGGCTCAGAAGGCTGAGACTGGGGTCAGTTAGGAGACTGTTACATGACCTCAGGTTGGGATGAGTGGGGCCCAGAGAAGGGAAGGGGTGCTGGGGACGGAAGGAAAGATGGAGAGTGAGAGCCAGCTGAGGAAGGTGCAGGAAGAAAGAATGTGTGTGGAGGCAAGATGAGGCTTGTCAAGAAAGACTACAGACCCTTCCAGTCTTATTTTCTTCATCCTTCCCTCCCTCCTTCATGTCTTGAGGTCTGTGTTTACCCTCTCCTCATAATCTAGAAGTGGGAAAGGCGCACACAAGCATGTGTGCATGTGTATCTCCCTTTAAATATATGGAGTGAACAGTCAGGGATGTGGAATGTTTTGATCAGTTCCAGCTAGAAGTAGAAGGAAGGGAATAAGTGCTTTAAAGAGAGTCCCTAAATTTGAAATCAGTATGTTTATCCTTCACCTCCATTGGGGAATCTAAAGTGTACTCAAAATTTTCCCTTTAAAATTAATAGAACTTTTTCTCTCTTTTTAAGCTACCATGTTTCTTGAAAACTGGAAGAGATTGCAGATGCGACTGGGCTACTTCTGGGACCTGACTGGGATAGAAGAGGAAGAAGTGAGTTTCCTTGCATACTTCTCTGGGTCCTTTCTTGGTTTCACCCTGGAAATAGATCTTCTTGAATGAGATGACCACTTAACATTTGCTGCCACATCAATCCATTGGCTCCATGGTCTTAGCTGTGGTTGATAGGCACTGAGGCCAAGAGTTCAAATCTCCACTCTTCTCTTGAGCTATAAAACATTGGACCTGATAGGTAGTCAGGTGGAAAAAGAGGTGGTATAAGAGAAAAGCCTTATGGTAGCTTTGGGATTTAACTTAACTTTTGAGATTTAATTTCTGTCTCTCATGTCATGGCTGCTAGTGTGCATGAAGCCAAAGGGTAGGATTCACTCTCATGTAGCCCAGAGCATGCATATGTAAGCCTACTGAGGGTCAAGGGAGAGGTGTGGGTGCCAGATGCTGATTGCCTTTGATGCCTATGGAAGAAGAACCACTGAACTATTATAAGCCAGTACAGCATGTGTGAAACTGGAGGATGAGCTAAGGGCAAAGGGTAGGCTCTTCTGGAGTCTAGTTTTATGGACAGATGATACTGAAAAGACTGAAAACAAATCAGCCGTCCCCCTGGGCTCTTATGAGAACCAGGTCCACAGTCCTGATGTTGGCAAACTGGCAATGAGTAGTGTGTGCATGATTGCTCACAGTTCTTATCTGTTTCCACACACTACCAGTGACTGAACAGTAAATGTGAATATTGGGTAGGCACTCCTGATATCGTGGACATTGTTGATGAGGTACTGGGAACGGTGTCTAGAAAGATCAAGGGGCACTTGCATTTGCCTGAGTACCCACATGCAAAGGCTGGCCATAAGCATTATGGCGGCTACATAGAGAGCAGGCCTTTTCTGTATTCTCCCATAGTAATTGATGTGCCTCGCCTTACACTCGGGATCTTTGTGAGTCCCTATGTCTGTAGCATGACATCATTTCTTCTCCTTGATGCTATAATTGGGCAGGTGGGCATTCCATTACCATGCACTGAGTACATGGGCTCACTGTATTCCAGTCCTGTGCGTTGAACATATGCCCGGGGACTGATGGCATCATGGGTTCCATGGCAAATCAGGGAATGTGCATGTGGATTCTACCTTCAGAGAGGATACAAATAAGGAAGATAAGCAACAGAGAATAATGAAGGCAGTTGCCTTTCTTGGGGGAGAATGCCCAAATGAGTGCTTCCAATAAAAGAGCTGTAGAAGTGGGACTGTGGGTGTGACCTGATTGGGAGATCCTTATCCTGTTGGTTCCAGTTGCTTCAGCAGAGAGAGAGACCGGGGAATTATGGCCAGGTGTGGGGATAGTGGTGGCTCCCACTCTCCTAATGAAGGGCCTAGCATGTCTCCAAAGAAGAGAAGAAGGAACATCCTGGCATCCACGCCTGCCTGGGGCCAGAGACCAGCTAAGTGTGTGGGCTAAGTAGAGCTGAGGATGCCAGCAAGTCTCTGTTAGGAGGTATAAACACATTCACACAGAGAAAGGCATTGGTTGTGACTCAGTTCCCTCAAAATCTCAGTCACAGGCCCCTGCCAGGGGTGGCCATATGACCCATTTTCTTTTAGTAGCCAGGTTTCCTGTTTTCTGATGAACCCAGCGAGCAGTGGTAACTTCATGGGAGGTACATGATTTCAGGAACTCATGTGCAGGGTGAGAGTGGTCTGGCCAAGACTGGGTTTACCACAATGAGGTGGTCCTCATGGGCTCTGGTCACTCCTGATGGGTGAGGTTACTGCAAGGCAGGTTGGTTCTACAGCATGGTTGGTGTGCCCTGAGTATGCAAGCCCAGGGCCAGGCATGGCTGAGAGGAAGGGAGGACAACCTTGTCTTTTCCTTTAATGTGTTTATATTTCAAACTAGGATATCAAACACACTTTAAGTTCAGTTCAATCTGAACATACCCAGTAAGCACCAACTATGTACCAAGTTTTGATATGCAATATGGAATTATGTCGGGTGGTCTCTGAGCATCTCCAAAGGGTTCTATTCAACTAGGGTGCTGTCTGGTCTCTAATATTTAGAACACAATGTAAATATGTGATAGAAATTCCTTCTGGCAAATGTAGCCAGAAGAAGAAATGCCTTTTTAAAAATTTGTTTTGTTTTTATCAGAGTTTTGAAGACTGGGCCAAATTCCATTGAAGAAAATTTCAAAGGGAAGAAAGGGTACCCACAGGAGGAAACAGCAGACAGAAGTCTTGATCCGGGAAGCTAGGGGTATAGATAAGAAACAGTGAGATGATGGGAAGGTGCAGTTGGCTGTGGGAACAGGTTTGGGGATGTAGTGGTGGACAAAGCAACAAATATAGGCATGCACTCAGGTCGGGGCGGTTACTGATGGCTGCTGTGCATCTCCTGTAGGTCATGGGAAGTCATGGAGGGCAGGATAGGAAGGTGTTTATGACTTTACAAGATTCCTTATCTGAAGTGTCGTGGGCAGGTTTAACCTGCATTCAGGCGAGGAGCAAGAGGATGGCGGGTATGACTTGGGCATTGGGGAGAGGGAGGCAGGGGCCCTTGGAGGTCATGATTAGAAGTTATTTCTATTTTAACCAGATGGTATCTCTAGTTACCAGTTATCAGGAATATTCCCATGGTCAACTGTCTGTAGTCCTAAGACGTTATGCTTCCCCGTGGTCTTCACTAGGAAACACTTACCTCCTCAGGGGAGACGAGAGTGGTTAATTCACCGGGACAAAGGCTCATTTCCCCTCTGTCCTTCCCACCTGGGGGGAACCCACCACGTGGGCCACCCCAGGAAGTGTTAAACAAGTGGGATGCCTCAAGTCTAGGTTGTAAACCAGGGAGAAGTGGAAGGAGGCTAGAGACTGCTTTCTTTCAGGGCAGGGAAGGACGTGAAAAACCAAACTCAAGAGCCAACTTCTTGGGTCAGTGTGTCCCCTGCCTGAGGGGCTTCCCTGTGGAACCAGCAAGGGCACCTCAAGGGATTTACTTTGGATTCTGTTCTTGTTGAAGGGAGGCCTGCAAGATCTCAAGAGTCTTTCCCTGTGAGGTGGGATGATCTTCAGCTCAGTGGGTCTCATTTGCCTCATTAGCTTCTGCCAGACCCCAGGTGTTCCTCTTAGAGAGTGTGGCCTTGTCTGAACACAGATATCCTCCCCTCAATCTCTCTCCCATCCCTCATCTGTCATATCAAGCTTTAGATGACCCAGCTGGTTTCCTATCACATAGGAAGCAAAATCCTCTACCTGCCTTTTCTGACCTCAGCACATGTCATTCTCCTCCTTGCTCAGACCTTCCAGCCATGTAGACCTTCATTCTTTCCCACGCTCGTTCTAGTCTTTGCACTGGCTGTCACCTCTGCCTAGAATGCTGCAGTCTCCACATGGCCTATCCTTTCTTGACTTTTCCATACCAAAACATTACCCTCCTCTGACTGGCCTTCTCAGAATCCCCATTCTAAAGCAGCCATCCTATTTTATTTCTTCCGTTGTTCTTATCCCTATCTGCTGGTTTCTTATGTGTGTGTTTGCTTACTGTCACCTTCCTCCACTTGAAGATAAGCTCCTTGAGAGGAGGGACCCATTGTGACCTCAGAGCTTGGAAAAAGGCTCAGAGCACAGTAGGAGCTTGGGAACTCTTGATGAAGGCATTTGTTTTACATATCTCTGGATTTACCTCTTTAGATCATCTCAGAGAAGGCTGGTCCTGAGTTGGCCTGGTGCCATCCTTCAGCCAGTTCCTGAGGAGACCAACCAGGTGGAAGTAGCCTTGGGAAATATTTCCCGGAGTCTTGGTGGGAGGAGTTATATGTTTGTGATGATTTTGCATCAGACCACCAATCCAGAGAGGCCGTGTATGGGGAACATCAGAAATAAGAAGGACCTATCCATGGCTGGGTGCATTGGAGCAACCCTCACAGGGACTAGATTCTGCTCTGGCCATGAGCTCAGTTGTCCAGCCCTCTGCCTGTGAAGAATTCTGTAACCTTACCTGACCTTCTTGGCTACCAACAGAGAGATCCTTGTCTGACCTGCCTCAGCTAGAATGCAGAGCAGCCTAACTCTGCTTTGAGAGTCTTGGACTCCTGTTCATGCACCAAGAATGCTCGGCTTGTTCCAAACAGAGGAGGGGTTCTGAATGGGGGCCCAGTGTGGGGTGAGGTGAGCCATAGCCACCACTAGAGGAATGCGGAGACATGCCTGATGGCGTGGCACGTCTTTGGAAAGTCAGAGGCAGGTTGAGAGCAGCCTCCTAGTCAAATAGGGAAAGTTCCTCGGCCCCTTTTCAGGGTATGAACGGTAGAAACAACTCTAGCTTGAGGGGGGTTAGAATCCACATTATGGTACTCACCAAAAGGATATTGCTATGATTTTTTAATTAAAATCTTCCATGGAGGGCAGATTTCCATGGAGGGTGGCTCAGTTGGTTAAGCATCTGACTTCAGCTCAGATCATGATCTTGTACTCCATGAGTTCAAGCCCCACATCAGGCTCTGTGCTGACAGCTCAGAGCCTGGAGCCTGCTTCAGATTCTATGTCTCCTTCTCTCTCTGCCCCTCTACCTCCCATGCTTGCTCTCTCTCTCTCTCTCTCAGAAATAAACATTAAAAAAATAAAAAATCTTCCATGGAAATAATATAGATAAAAAGTGGCCAGATTTCAGAGGCCATGGAGGACAATTTCAAACCCCATTTCTCAAAGTATTCCTATAGGATGTCAATTGGAGCAAAGGGATTTTTTGTAAGAAATGGTGGCTTTAAAAAAATTAAGCAAGTGTCTTCACAGTAAAACTTTTCAGAGCTTCTAATATGCTCATTGTGACTCTCAGGTGATACCTTGTATGGGCTTTTCCAATCTCTTAGACCCTGAAATCCCTTTTTAGCTAAAACTCTTTTGGCACACACATTAGGAAATGATGTGGTAGAGAATGGATGAAGGTGAGAGACAAAATCAGTGAGCTTCACAAGCATTTAGAGATTCCGGGTGCTTTGCATGGTGCTAATTACTGTGAAAAATACAAAATAAGACAGTTTTGGTAGCAGATCCTCATATTAGGAGACTCTCACACACAAAACAGCTAGGAAAAAATAAAAGAAATATACATAATTGAGAACTATCTGTGGTACAAACTATGCAACTCTAGGCTATTCAAGAGGAAGGAGATTCCCCCAGGCATGCTGCCACAGAGAAGTCCTGGAAGGGACGGGGCTGATGCATCCTTGGAGATTGGTAATGACAGGGTGCCTTAAAACCCTTCAATAGCATCACCCCCTGTTGCAGTGGTTATGCTTATAAGTCACATGCATGGTTTCTCCTCTCCAATGTTATGAATGTCCTGGGAAAGCCAAAGACTGGTCAGGAGCCTAGCTTGTTTGGCTTTTGGAATCTCTGACGTCTGAGCAGTGGTAAAGAAATGTGTGTACTCTGGGTCAACTGTGAGCCAGTGCCTGAACCCTTGCCTACAAGTTATCGATAAATGATGCGGGAACATGAAGTCCTCACACCTGTAGATATTTATCCTTGGACGCTGCAGGGAAGACCTGCCAATGAGGCCAGGTGTACACTGTTAAATTCTCTTTGAAGTAAGTCCTGCATCTTCCTGCTTCAGCATCTGCATTGGTTTGACCGTAGTCCTCTTGATTAGTTAGTCTCTTTCCCCTGCCTGGTGACTCACTATTCAGGTTTATATTGCTGAATGGCTCAGTGATATCTCTTGAGCATTGGTGTACTTGCCAATGAGTTACTCACCTAGGTTGTACAGGAAACAGGTTCAGGCAAGTGAGTTTTAAGATTCCCTGTGGCCATCTTTAGCTTTGATGTTTATTGGTCGCCATTTTAGCTTGCAGAATAATGGAGCAGGAAGTTTTGCTGTTGCCCTAACTCCCAGCTGTGGGGCACATCTGTTTCTCTGGCTGGGATTTGGCTCATTGAAACTTAAAGTTTGAGGTATGAGGATAGTTAGTAGGACAACCAGATGCTTCTGTTTGTATCAGCTGTCCAGTTAATGTTTCCTCTCTCCTTTCTCAACACTGGCGCCATCCCCAGGAACGTGCCCAGGTTTGGTTTTCAGTGTGGTAACAACTATTGTGTGTTCCTTCCCTCTCCCCCACATTGTGTTCCTGGTCTAGACTCCTTGTGATCGTGTGTGGTGTTCATATCCAAATAGCATTCGATCCTAAGTCCTGACTTTATACCGTACTCGTAGTGTCTGATTATCACCCACAGGCCAGGGGCTCTTCTGCCTGCTTACCTACTACTCTTTGACTCTTGGGTTTTAGGAACACTCCCGGCCTGAGTATGAAACCAAAGTTCGAGAGAAAATGTTAAAGGCAAGTGGCAAGTCGGTGGTCCAGAAACTGGGCACCAATATGGCTGAGGATGAAGATGAGGTAAGTTGCTGGTGCTTGTTGCTCGCCATCTTCTTTGTTTCTGAAGGTGCTTTGTCATTTCATTTGGAATGCCTTCATCAGAGACTGGGCTGTGAGAAGAGGTTGACAGGAGTGGGACAGGAGGGGATGATTCATGACACATTCCGTTGACCTGCCCTCAGAGCAGGCTTTTGCCATGACTTGATTTGTCTCTCTTTCTGGATGGTGGTGTCTGGCCAAAATGGGAGAGTAGGTTGGAGAAGAAAGAAACAGTTTCAGGGCAGGACTGAATCACCTAAATACCTAATAATGATAACTACCACCATACTAACTAGCACAATGGCAGTTAACCCTTGTCGAATGCTTGCTCTAGGTTAGATACCATTCTAAGTGCATTATATTATCTTATTTTCATGGTAAATTTATGATGCTGGCACTCTTATTAGGCAAATGAAAACTAATGACAAAAGTTATGTTCATAGCTTAAGTCAGTTGCCAGAAGTCACCCAGCCAGTAAATGGTGAGTAGATCTGGGATTCTGTACATCTCTGACGGTCTGTGCATCTAACCACTACATGCAATACTGCCCTTCGAGTGCAGTGAAGAAGTCCAAGCAAGACATGGCTCTTAGGGCCAGCCGAGGCAAATTCATGCCTGTGTTCACTTGAGCTACTCATATAAAGTTCCTTACATTTCATTTTATCTGGGTGGGCTTTCACAAGTACGAATGTGATGGTGAACATGTCTTCCGAGTCCTATTTCTGAGTTTTACGGTGGCATTCAGACATTAAAACAGAGCTTCAGAATCTGTGCTGTGATCTGTAAATACGCATAGTGTGTGTGAGCTGGGGGTACAGTGTGGGGGGCTCCTCTTTGGCAGTGCCTGTCTTCTCTGAGTGCCACCCTTCTTTGAATCTGTGTGTGTGTGTGTGTGTGTGTGTGTGTGTGTGTGTGTGTGTGTGTTTATGTCTTTCCTAATCTGGTTCCTGAAAAAAATCAACAAGATTGGAAATCTGTTGTTTTTGCATGTGTCTTTTCTCCATCTTGGCTTTGAATTCAAATTTCATTTAATTTTACATTCTTAAAGTTGGAACCATTCATGTTAACATGCAAATTTATTCAAGCACCAAAACAGAAGAATGTGGTGTTTTTGAGGCCAGAACACTGGCTTTTTTCTTCTTTCTTTCTTTCTTTCTTTCTTTCTTTCTTTCTTTCTTTATCTCTTTTCTTTCTTTCTTTCTTAAAGAAAACAGGACTTAGAAGAGAAAGAGCATGGCTCTCTGAGTTATTATTTTTTTTTTCCTAGACAAAAAGTAAGTCCAAGACCACCAATTATTCAGGGAAATAATGAATTCATTCTTAGGACAGACTAATCATCACCACCACCCTCATCAGAAAGCAAGAATTCTGTGTTCTCAGCTTTAGCAACTCCATGCAACCTTCTTTCTCCACCCTAGAGCAATATACAATGGATAATTTTATGGAAATCACATGTAACTTTTATTGACCACTGACTCATTTAATTTTAATTCCATGGACGGGAATGCCAAGGAGCTGGAATTGCATACATTGAGACTGTGGTTCTAATATAAACTTTGCTTGGATATATATGCATGATAGGTCACATAACTTTCAGGAACCATGAATAATTGAAAAACATCTGAATGCATTATGAATGATACATATGTTTATGTTTTAGCATTCAACATCTATTTCCATTACACTGTTGAGAATGCAAAGCTCAAAGCATCTAATGTCTTTTGGGCACTGGGGAGAAAATGACCTTCCTGATTGAGCAGTGAGAGATGAAAATGGCTTGGAATGTGATTGTCAACATCCTTCTTCTGTTCCCTCCATTCTGTTAATACTGTAAATCTTCTGTTCCTGCTGTAAGTCTAGCCAAAGATGGGAGATGAAGGGAGGAGCACGTGTTGCTGTCTGATGGGAGGGATGCTGCTCTTGCCTACTGGAAGAGTTGAGGTCAATACCCACTGTATAACATGGCTCTGGAGACCCTCTCATGTGTGGGATATTTAGGAAAGGTCCCTTCTGCTGGGGAATAGACAGGGACAAAGAACCAAAATTTAGCTGGTGGTCTTGGATATGCCTCTTTCATCCCAGAGGATCCTCTTGGCTCTGCCTTGACTGTGACCCCAAGTCTGCATATCCTCACCTCTCTTTACTTTCCTTCCAGTTGGATGATAAGCTACCATTTATTGAGACCCAGAGCAGTATGGGAATTTGCCCAAGACCATATAATGTGTGTGGGGAAGCTGGTAGTCAAACTTAGCTTCACCCAATCCCCAAGGCCTATTGCTTTTTTTTTTTTAATTTTGAAGATATCAACCCCATTTTTAAAGACTTCTTTATTGAGATTTAGTCCTCAGACCATAAAATTCACCCACATAAAGTGTATGATTCAATAGGTTTTAGTATATTCACAGATTTGTGCAGCATTTCTACCATCTAAGTTTAAAATATTTTTTTAAGGTTTATTTATTTACTTGATGAGAGAGAGAGAGAGCAAGCGAGCACACAGGGAAGGGGCAGAGAGAGGGAGAGAGAGAATCCAAAGTAGGCTCCACACTGTCAGTGCTGAACCTGATGCGGAGTTGGGACTTACAAACCGTGAGATTATGACCTGAGCCGAAATCAAGAGTAAGATGCTTAACCAACTGAGCCACCCAGGCACCCCTCAAATATTTTTATCACCCCAAAAAGAAACCCTATACCTAGTAGTTACTAAACTCTGGAAAAACAACTAATCTACTTTCTTTTTCTATAGATTTGCCTATTCTGGCGCCCCTGGGTGGCTCAGTGAAGCATCTGACTCTTGGTTTCAGCTCAGGTCATGATCTCACGATTCATGAGTTCAAGTTCTGCATCAGGCTCCATGCTGACAGCGCAGAGCCTGTTTGGGATTCTCTCTCTTCTCCTCTCTCTCTGACCCTCCCGCATGCACACACTCTCTCTCTCCCTTCTCTGTTTCTCTCTTTCAAAATAAATAAATAATACAATAAAAAAAGATTTGCCTATTTTGGGTTTTCATGTCAATGGTATCATGAAAAATGTAGTATTTAGCTGCTTTTACTTGGAAAAATGTTTTCATAATTCATCCATGTTTTAGCTACATCAGTATTTCATACTTTTTTATTGCCAAGTAATATTACCATAGTTTAGATATACCTCCTTTATCAATTGGTATGATAAAGCCACTTGGATGGCTTCCACCTTTGGGCTGTTATCAATAATGGTGCTATGAATATTTGTGTACAAGTTTTTGTGTGGATGCATGTTTTCATTCCTCTTGGATTTGTAGGTAAGAGTGGAATAATTGGGTCACACAGTAGCTCCATATTTAACAATTTGAAGACCTGCCATACTATTTCCCAAAGTAACTGTACCATTTTACAGTCTAACCATACAATGTATGGTTTCTCCACATCTCAGCAACACTTCCTGTTATCTTTTTTATTTTATCTATCCTAGTTGTGTGAAGTGGCATTTCACTGTGGTTTTAATTAGCATATCTCTAATGACTAATAATGTTGAACATCTTTTCATGTACTTATTGGCTGTTTGTATGCCTTCTTTGGAGAAATGCCTATTCAAATTCTTTGCCCATTTTTTACTTTTTATTTTATTTTTATTTTTTAAAGTTTGTTTATTTATTTATTTATTTACTTATTTATTTATTATTTATTTATTTATTTATTTTGAGAAAGAGAGAGTGGAGGGAGGGACAGAGAGAGAGGGAGAGAGAATCACAAGCAGGCTCCACGCTGTCAGTGCAGAACCCAAAGCGGGGCTTGATCTCATGTACTGTGAGATCCTGACCTGAGCTGAAATCAAGAGTTGGACATTTAACTGACTGTGCCACCCAAGTGCCCTCTTTGCCCATTTTTTAAATTGTTTTCTTATGATCATGTTGTAAGAGTTATTTAATAATCTGAATACCAATCCAATATATAATATGATTTACAAATATTTTCTCCTGTTGAATGGATATTGTTTTTTAATTTTATTGATGATACAATTCAAAGCACAAAAAGTTTTGTTGTAATTCAAATTATATGTATTTCCTTTTGTCACTGGTGCTTTTGTATCATATCCAAGAAATCATTGCCTAGTTCAAGGTCATAGACATATACTCCTAGGTTTTCTTCTAAGGGATTTTTGTGTTGGTTCTTACATTTTTAGGTGTATGATCCATTTTGAGTTAATTTTTATGTATTAGTTAACTAACTAAGGTGTCCAAATTCTTGTTTTTTGTTTGTTTTTGCATGTGGATATTCAATTGTCTAGCACTATTTGTTGAAAGACTGTTATCTCTACTGAATTATATTGACATCCTCATCAAAAATCTATTCAATATAAATGTAAGAATTTGTTTCTGGACACTCAATTGTATTCTGTTAACCTGTGTGTCTATCTTTATGCCAGTGCCACATTGTCTTGATTACTACACTTGTGTAATAAGTTTTGAAATTGGGAATGTGACTTTGACTTTGTGCTTCTTTTTCAAAATTGTTTTGATGATTCTGGGTGCCTTGCATTTCCATATGGATTTCATAACCAGCTTATCAATTTCTGTAAAAAACACATGCTAGGATTTGTGATAGGAACTGAGTTGAATCTATAGGTTAATTTAGGAATATTGCCATCATAAAACTATTAAGTCTTTTTTTTTAATTTTTAGTGTTTATTTATTTTTGAGAGAGAGAGAGAGAAAGAGCGAGAGAGCAGGGTAGGGAGAGGGAGAGAGAGGGAGACACAAAAACTGAAAAGGCTCCAGGCTCTGAGCTGTCAGCACAGAGCCTGATGTGGGGCTCGAACCCATAGACCATGAGATCTTGACCTGAGCCAAAGTCGGACATTTAACTGAATGAGCTACCCAGGCGCCCCACACTATTCTTATAATCTATGAGCGTGATGTATCTTTCTATTTATTTAGATCTTATTTAGTTCCTTTCAACAATGTTTTATATTTTCAGTGTAGAAGTCTTAATACATATTTTGTT